GCACCTTCTACAGTCAGGGCTCTGCACTGAAGCTGGAGATAAAATGTTGAATAAAATACAGGGACTGACATCAAATGATGCAAAAAGAAAAGTAAATCAGCAATAGCAATGGAATCTGACATGTTACTGCAGTGTTGGGCGAAGCGTGCTATGGGAGTACATGTGATGGCCATCGATCAGAAGAAATGACAGTCATGCTGTCCTAAAATATTCCCAGAACTATTTTCTAATTATACTTAAATTCTTGGGTTCTGTCGCTCTAGGAAGGGAATGAGCTGGCAAGAAATCGTAAGCATCCTCATCTGGCAGCTTTGCTTCTCATTGTAAATGCACAACATTGACCTCTCAAAATAATTGGGTTTCCCATAAGGCTTGCCTACAGAAGGAATACAGTAGCCCAAAAATGTGTGTTCACTTCTCTGATTTTATATTCAAGTTCATGAACTTTCTGGTTTTTACAGTCTCTGAGAGTTTAGTGCCTGTGTATCTGTATCTGAACAATGTATTAATTCTTCATGTGCTGACAAAGTTCAGAGACTGTCAGACAAGCCCTGAACCCTGAGAATTCACCAGGGTAATGTCATCCCTCGGGACGTGCCCGGGTAGACTCCAGCCTTCCCCAGCCTTCCTTCTGCTCTGCAGGCTGCTTTGATCTTCTCGGTTCCTCAAGGGTGGGACTGTGTATGACGCTTCTTTGATATCTGAGTCATCCTCTCTCACCATGTCTGCTACAAAGCATTTTGGTTTTAAACAAATTTGTTCCTTGATTTCTTTGACTCTCATTCAATCACATCAAAATAACTAACTTAATATGTATTTGCAGATTAAGTCAGATAAAATGACACTAAGAAGCATTTTTTAAATGAAATGTTAATAAATTTTAAAATTCCTCAGCTGTTTTGAAAGATGTCAACCTTTTTTTACATATCTACTCTATGTTAACTTCTTTTTACTGCTTTGGCCTGTGATCATTAGTGGTCCTCAGATAAGCTAATCAACAGAGGACCTTCCACCAAGCTGAAGAACTAGAAGAACTAGACTAACTGAAGAACAAGAAACCAAATATTGTGAACTCTTACCCAAAGACAATTTCTTTCATCTACAGTGGTTTCTCTGCCAATCACTTAACTAGATTCTTTCATCTATAACAGGGGATGGCATCTTTTTCTTCAAAGATCCGCGTAAGTAAATGCTTTAAATTCTGTAGGCCAGTCTCCACTGGTTGCAGCTACTCAGCCCTCCCATTGCAGCGTGAAAGTAGCCATAGATAATATGTAACCAAATGAGTGTGGCTGTGTTCCAATAAAACTGTGCTTATGGACACTGAAATTGAAATTTCATATAAATTTCAGGGATCATGAAATATTAATCTCCTTGGTTTTATTTCCAACCATTCAGAAATGTAAAAAGCATTCTTAGCTCAGGAGACACACCACCGGATCTGGCCCTCAAGACATCGTTTGCCAACTCCTGCTGCACAGCCATGAATAAATACCAGCAATGATTCACTGTATATATATGTGAATACGTGTGGTCCCTTCATAACACTCCCTTATCAACCTTATCAACCTTGAGAGTTATGACTTATAAATGGTTCTTAAATTCAGTGGTGGGAAACTTAAAATCTTATGGTAAAAAATATTTTCACTAAAATTAAACAATGGTCAGCACAGTAAAAAAAGAAAAAAAAAAAGACATGTTGCATATTTTAAATCCCAAATAACAGCTCCCATGTAATAAGTTTCTAGTTAGCATCCCTGCTCAGGAAAAAATTGTAAGATTTATGAGATGAATGTTTGTTTTGCTTTAACACTGTTTCTTCTGAGACTTTTTCCAATGTCTTTTTTTCACCCAATTTTTCAACTGATTATAAGATTAATACTCATTTACTCTCATCTCCTCAACCTCACCATAGCCCAAGAAATTGGATGTTTAGTACATAAGTAGCTTTAGATTTTCTTTCTTCAACCTCTTCTCCCGTACGTGAGTTTATACAGTATTGTCTTGTCTGTGACAACTTTCTAGGCATACCGAATGAACATTTCTAAGGCTTTCTGTCCCTAGCTTTGTGTGTTTCAACTTTCACTGTATATTTCCTTACTCCTGCCAAGTTTCTACTTAATGCCCCTTTTTATTTCCAGCTCCTGGGCACTCTTTTTCTTGCTGCCCCCAACAGTCATTGCTTGCATGGTACATGTATCTAAATTACTTTTCCTGGCTATAGAAAAGGTCCCACATCATATCCCAAATACTACAGAGGAGGTCAATGTGCTATGCCCTCTTCTTTTGTGAATATGCCTGAAAATGCACATAATCAAAAGTTTGAGAAAAATAGAGCATATATTCCTATACACTAGATTTGGCCACAAGAGAAATTTGTAGTTGGGAAGAAATTAGCGTATTTATATGCCATTCCTGTGCACTTTGTTTACATTGCTCTCTCTGCCAGGCATGCCCTCCCCGAATTCTCTGCCTGAAAGAATCCCCCTCAGACTCCAAGGTCCAGGCAGGAACCTGTGGGAAGCATCTCTAGCAGAGCTGCCAACTCTCTCCTCTGCATTCCCAAAGCACTTCATACTTATCTGCATTCCCAAAGCACTTATAATTGCATTGCGGTTAGTTTTTTATATAGCTGTCCGACCCTGACCCGCACCTTCCCCACACAAGTTAATGAGCAACTTTTTTCTTTTCCTTTCTCTCTGTCTCTTTTTTCCCCAGCCCCACTGCCCAACACAGTGCCTGAAATAGGTATCAAGACGGCATTTCTCAGAAGCACGGAGGGCAGTGCGGAGTGACTTCAGGGGGTTTCCCCAGCCCACTTCCATCAGCGCCCTTCATCTTCCCTCTCCGCTAACAAATTACCAGGCAATCTGAGTGAAACAGCAGCTTCAAAACAACATGCCCTTATGATGAGATCGCCAGTCCTCAAACCTTCTTCAAAGGAATTCCACCATCAATGCTGCCAAAACTGCAAGGTTCTCAATACCAATACTTACATGGCACCCAACAGTTTTCAAAGAACTTTCACCATTTTTTTTTTCCTATTTGATCCACTTATTCTTAGCAAGACAAACAGTTCTATCTTCATTTTTCTGACACTCCAGTAAATAACAGTGACATATCCAAGATCAGAACTGGTGATAGCTCTGGGCCTACAACCTTAACTTATTGATCTGTCCATTGTCCTATACTCCGGGAATGCTAGGCTCAGTATTTGTGAAGGGTTGCATTTCTTTTCCCCCTGGCAGACTTTTCCCCCACTATGAATGGTGGTTTTATACTGTGGCTCTATGTTCTAAAAATCCACTCCCAACAAAATCATTTAGGTAGATACACATTATGAAAAGACAAAGTCAAATATGCCCACTTGTATTGCTTTATGATGTTCCCATGAGCACTTACTGACTAACGAGTTTCCAGAGAATTACTGACTTCAAAAAATAGCCTGCCATGCATTTCTGCAAATAGAAATATACAGTCTATTATCTAAAAAATTCACTCATAAGAAGTACTACTATTTATAGGTTAAGTACAAGAGGCTTGATTTTTCTCTCCTTTTATAATTCATCTTCCCTAAACTATTAAATGGAGAATACTTATCACATTAGCAAGCTCTTTCCTTAAAAATGCTCTTGGTTCCTCTATTTATAATTCTCTATGATTTAACCATCACTTCAATTCTCTTACTATTTATTGCATGTAACTCCTCTAATATTAGTACATATCATTTTACACATAAATAGGGCACTGCCTGACCAAAAAATCTTGCTAATGGGTGGTGACTGAAAGTAAAGATTATTTTCAGATCTATTAAGTTATTGAAATGAGCCACATTTAGCGTTTGTCAAATTATTTAGTTTTGGGGTTGTTTTTTTTTTTCCAACAAAGGCCTGTAATAATAAAGTACACAGAGCATGCCACACTTAAGATTTTCAAGTCTGATCCGGTTACAAATCTGCTAATTGTAAAAACTATCAATATGGCAGAGTGCATAATATTTCACACAAATGCAGGCAGATATCATCCAGATAGCTGCAAGACTTGAACCATTGCACTGCTGCATCAAATTCAGAAATGCAGAGGCTGTCACTCTGCAAGATTTCTTGCTCAGTTTTTAAAAGTTCAGCTAGATCACTTTTTAACCAGGGCAATAGACTATAATTTCTAATATACCGTGTCATGTTTACTGCTAAACCCACAGCCTGGGCAAACAGAAAATTATGCTGTTAGAGCCTGGAAACAACTGCAGTCCACTGTTAAACACAACTCCTTACAGAGAGCTGTCGTCAGGAGTTCAATGCTTTACGGTTTTAATTTTTTTAGACTAAGGGTCTTTTGCCCGAGAAGCAGGTATTGAGACGAAAGAGGTCTCCGGCGTGACCTTCCTAACGCAGACCTTGAGCAAGCGACTGCAGGGGCACGGGCTGGAAGGCACTGGACAGCTCCACTGAGTCCCGCACACTTTGCTTTCAGGAACAACAAAAAGAATGGTACTCTGCACCTGCCTATCCCCCCAGCCCCTCCTTAAAACTTAAATTACACTAGGAAGTGGTCTGAACAGCTGGAATAAGGTATGGATCTGTATTCATCTCTCTGGCGATGTCCAGAGAAAATAACCCCCCCAAGGAAGAGCGGAGCCTTGAGGGAGGGGGTGAGAAGAAGGGGAGGGGGCGAGGAGAAGGTTGGGGGCGCCGGGGAGGGAGAGAGGAGAGGCTGGTGCTTTCCCCATCACCACCGCCACCACCTACCTCCACACTGCACTGCATTTTCTCTACCTCACGTAAAAATCTCGTGCAGGAGGCTCCCCACGAGAAGCAGGGGTCTGTGTCCCCTTGCGTCCTGGATGCGGCCCCTCAGCCCCTCCCCCGCCCCCGACCCTCCTCCCCCGCTGGGCAGGCTGAGCCCAGGTATGGGGCTGAGGCTCTGGGTGACTGTCCCCGCGACGGGCTCGGGCAGGGGCAGCACCGCGGAGTCCCGGCCGGCGGCCCTTCCGGAGCTACCTTTTATCCAAGCAGGCGATCCATTCGGCCGAGGAGGAAGAATGGGCAGCGTGCGCAGCGACCATGTTGGGCAGCGGCGCGGCGTCCCTGGCTGCAGCGACCTCCCGCGCTCAGCGCTCACTCTACCTCCCTCGTGTGTGGACGCTCCACCCAGCCCGCGTCGCCACCAGTGCGGCTGTGACAGCCCGCTCGAGGCCTGCCTGCGGAGTGGTGGGAGGGAGGGGACCTGCGGGGCGGGACGCGGGGCGGGACGCAGGGACAGGGAGGGCCCAAGCCGCCCGCCCTCCACCGCTGCACTGCGGCGCCCGGGGTGGGGAGCCCGGCGTGCGCCCGCATGCTCCGGGGTGGGTGCTAGGAGGTGACCCCGAGCCGCACGCCACCTGCGACAGGTGGCCTCTGCATCTCAGGGAAACCTGGGCCCCTCCCCTCGCCCCGGGGCCTCTGAAACAGGTGGGGAGAGAAAATGCCAAGAATGGGGAGGGGGGTGGTCAGTATATATTTTCCATATAGCAAAATGCCACTAAAATGGCTGCTACCTCTCCGTTTCCTTAGAAACCCATGAGTCTTCCCCAGCAGCTTCTCAAAACTTGCTGGCCATTTCCTGCTCACCTTTCCTGTTCCTCTTTAATAAGGAATGGAGAGGAGGGCTATTATGGCTTGGGATGGGGACACCCACAGTGATCTCTGAGTGTGGAATACAGGGGACAATTTCTTCTGACCGCGGAGGAGGGGCCGGGCTGGAATGGAGAGGCATCGCAGGCAGGGCTGGAGGCTGGGAGGGGAGGCCAGTGGGCCAGAACGGTGACCGGTGATGACTGAGGGCATGACAAACTGGTCTAGGACCTTGAACCTTCCACCAGCTTGGGCTTCCATCACCTGCAGAATGCAAAGAAACATGAAAGACTGGGGAGTTGTGGGCCACAAGCAGATCTGAGGTTAGATCCCGAGGCATTAAGGTTGTTAACTTGAATGGCTGGCCCCACAGGCCATTCTCCCCACGGCTGGAGTGATGAATGGTCTGCCTCCCATCTGTCTAGCCGGAGTGTCAACAAATACAATGCCTCGAAGTTGTTTGGTTACACTCTGCCAAAAATCAAATTATGCTCTGATGGTTGTTTAGGAATTTGGAGACAAGTTAAATCTTTTGGACTATTACCAAGCAGTGTTTTTTTGTTGTTGTTGTTTATAATTATGGTGTTCATTTGGGGATAGACAATGGAGAAAGAGACACAGCATTGCTTTCCTCAGTCCGTTTCAGCCCCCCTCCGCTCCCCTCCCCGCTCTCTCCTGTTTACAGGACGTTTAAAGAGACTGGAGGGAATGAAACAGCAGGTGTGTTCTGGCATGCTTTTACCTTAATGAAACTCATCCAAAGAATTTGCCATTTTCCCTCTGTCCCAAAGCCAGGATCTGGTTTCAGAACCGCTGCCATTCCCTCAGCAACAAACACACCTCCCTCATCAGTTTACCTCCATCTGGTTAAATTTCTATCATTTTTAAGGTAAATAATGTTTAAAATGTTATACTATGTAATGATTACCAAAGAATTTATGTCATTCCTTTTTTTTCCTAATTCTCACCTGAGGACCTTTTTCTTTTGCATTGCTTTTAGAGAGAGAGGAAGGGAGAGAGCGCAACATTGATGTGAGAGAGAAACATCAACCAGTTGCCTCCTGTAGGTGCCCGGATTGGCACCAGGGATCTACGCACCCAGACTGTGAATCTGAACCTGCAACCCAGGTATGTGCCCTGCCCGAGAATCGAACCCCTAACCTTTCAGTTAAGGGAGGACGCCCTAACCAACTGAGCCACATTGGCCAGGGTATGTCCTTCCTTTTTATTATAGAGAGATGAAGGAGGAAATGAGTCTCCTATATTTATTAAGATCAATGTATAAAGGCATCAAAGAACTCTTAAGAATGTTTCAAGGTCACCAAATGCCTTCTCAGGATTCCCTTACTCAGAGAATGCTTACAGGTAAGGAGCTAGGTTGAAAATGGATGGCACATGACCTGTCATTACCGGAGCCTCAGAGTTACCATACCTTTTGGCCATGATACTAATAATAGTCACCATTTATTGGACATCCACTGACTGTCAGACATCGTGCAGAGTTCTTTACATACATTATCTCATTTAATCTTCAGAACAGTCTATGAAGCACAGCCAAAAGGACAGGTGTCCAGGGTACTACTCCACAAGAAGGAACAACTATCTCTGCAAAGGTAATGAAATACAGCAAATTTTGGTTATCAGCACTTTCAGGAACAGTGTTGACTGGGTTGGAAGAAAGACTCTGATGAACTTCTTGGAATGGGAGTGAACCCCCAAGGTGTCTAATGCGCATTTTAAGGCACATAGCTCCAATAAACTGCAAAGTCTTTGTTTTGCTGTGTGACTACCCTGCCTTTCCTTTAAATAGAAGTTGAAAATGATTTAAAGAATAACCTTTGGAAAGAGCATCAACAATCATCAGCTTATCCAGAACCCACACATGTCCCCATCCATCCCTGGAGATAGGTCCCTGTAACCCCAGTATACTCACTAGGACACTGAGCCTCAGCGAAGGTAGACAGCTTGCTCACCGAACCCCAGCTCCTGGAGCCGGTTTTGGAGCGGGGGTGTGAGTGTGGGGACTGAACCAGATTCAGGTTTGTCTGAATCCAAAGCCCTTGTACCTCAGTAATGATTTGATCAATAGGATGAAAGTAGAAGGAGTGTCAAAAATTGCTGTCCAGATGATAAGAACACAATGGTTATAATTTTTATATAAAAATAGGAAAAAAATCAGAGAAAAAAGATAGAAGAGGTCCTTGAAAAGTCAAAAGTAACTTATTCTTGTGGTCTGAAAAGGGCTTGATCATTGGTGAGGAATGACAGAAGAAAAGGAAAAGCTGTTAATGGTGAGCCTATGATAAAGAGGAAGAAAATAAGAGATTTTGTTTGGTTTTGATGGGAAAGGCAAAGAGCAAAAGAATATTTATTCTTTTTCTTTCTTTAAAAGAACATATAAGTCAAGTCAGACTGAAAATGTTCACATATTGTACAGTTCCGTTTATATAAAATAGCCAGAAAAGGCACGTCTATACAGGCAGAAGGTAGGTTAGGGGTTGCCTGGGGTAGGGGGCGAGGTATAATGGGGGGAATAAGGAGTGACTGCAAATGAGCTCAGGGAATATTTTTGGAGTGATAGAAATGTGCCAAAATCGGATTGTGGTGATATGGTGCACACATCAGTGACTTTAACACCAATCACCAAATGACATAATTAAAATGAGTGTATTTTGTAGTATGCAAATTATATCTCTGTGCTGTCGAAAGGTAAATAATAATTTTAAAAATAATAAACCTATCATGGGGGTAAGTCATTTATTGATCTTTTGGGGGAAATAAGTAAAATTATTGAATAAAAAGTAAAAATTACCTATAATTTTATCATCTAGAGATATCACTGCTCATATATTAGTGCATTTCATTTTAAGTTTTCTATTTTAAAAGATACAATCATATGTATACCCATAAACACATGCATTGCATATTCAATTATATATAGATGTGTATAAATATGTGTACAGTTGTCCCCTCTTGTCCACAGTTTCTCTTTCTGGAATTTAAGTTACTCAGGGTCACCCAGTTAATCATAGTTCAAAAATAATAAGTAGAAAATTCCAGAAATAGACAATGACTAAGTTTTAAAGTGTATGTCATTCTGAGTAGTGTAATGAAATCCCACATAGCCCCTATCTGCCCTGCAGGATGGAAATCATCCCTTCGTCCAGAGCATCTGCACTGTATTCTCTCCCTGCCCATTAGCTACATATAGCCCTGTTGGTTCTCAGGCTGACTTGTGTTACCATGTCTGTGTTCAGGTGATCCGTACTTTACTTAACCAAAGGACAAAAGCAGTGATGCAGATGCAGGCAACCCAGAAACATTAAAGAGAAGCCATAAAGTGCATTCTTGAAATAAAAAGATGAAAGTTCTTGACGACGTAAGAAAATGATTGTATGCTGAAGCTGGTAAAGTCGATGGTAAGAATGAATCTTCTACCCATGAAATTGTGAAGAAGGAAAAAGAAATTCATGCTAGTTTTGCTGTCACACCTTAAAGTGCAAATACATTTCATCACATAAACATTTTATCATCTCACATTATCACAAGAAGGGTGAGTACAATATAGTAAGATTTTGAGAGGCAGACCACATTCACATAAGTTATAGTATATTATTATAATTGTTCTATTTTATTATTAGTTATCATTGTTAATCTATTGCTGTGCCTAATTTATAAACTAAATTTTATCATAGGTATGGATGTGTAGGGGAAAAAACAGTGTGTGGGTATATATACATATACAGTTTGGTACTATCTGTGGTTTCAGGCATCCACTGGGGGTCTCAAAACATATCTCATGTGGATAAGGAGGGACTACTATGCCTATACGTACTTGAAACCATTAATATTTTATAGGCTACTTTTCTACTTGGAATAGAAAAATTCTTTGTATGTTTAAAAAGTCCTTGTTAAATTTTTTTTACTGGCTACAAAATATAATGCATAGACATAATTTACTTAAACTGTCTTTTTATTGAGATATGATTGATATATAAAATTATATTAGTTTCAGTTTTACAACATGATTTGATATTTCTATATATTGTGAAATTATCACCAAAATAAAACATCCATCACCACACATAGTTACAAATTTTCTTTCTTGTGTTGAGAACTTGTAAGATCTACTTTCTTAATGACTCTCACATATACAAATGCAGTATCATTAACTATGGTAAACTAAATATCTTTTGAGGTCTATTTTCCTCATTGAACAAAATATTTCTGTTTAATCCCCTTCCTTCATAGTTAAGTGAATTCTCTCTCTATGAGAGCCAAAGATCTCACTGAAGATTTCCAATGAGATGAGGACAAGAAGTTACCGGACCCAGAAGTTACCAGATCAATTATTATTAGTTGTAAAACCTTGAATAAGTTAACTTCATATCTGAGCTCCACTTTCTTCATCTGACCAGAGGCTCAAAATTAGGAATTTGGAGACAGACAGCCAAGTTCAAATTCCAGCTTCATCCTTCTACTATTTGACCTTAAACGTACATACCTAAGACCCTGTTTCATCATCCATAAAGTGGAGAAATTACTGACA